GCTGCAAAAAAGCATCAATGTACTTGGTAAATTTTGTGAGCAAACTGGTATGAGCGTGAATCTAAAGAAAACTAAGATTATTGTTTTTAGAAATGGTGGTCCCTTGCGCTCATATGAAAATTGGTCTTATAATGGCAATGTTATTGAAACTGTATCCTTTTACAAGTACCTTGGAATTATGTTCACTCCTAAATTATCCTGGAGTAAAACTACATCTTGCCTTGCATCACAAGCTAGTAAGGCAATATTCTCTGTTAAAGATTTCCAAAGGAAACTTGGCAGCATTAATTGTACCGATTTATTTAAAATCTTTGATTGGGTCTGAAATCTGGGGCACATCCTACTGTAATACTATTGAATCTGTCCATATTAAATTCTGTAAATATGTCTTGAAACTGGGAAAATCCACCTGTAACAATATGGTCTTGGGTGAATGTGGAAGAGTGCCTTTACAGTTTACTTATACAACCAATGCAGTGAAATACTGGTGCAGACTTCTAAACATGCCTGACTATAGATTACCAAAACAATGTTATTTTATGCTATTATCTTTAGACAGGGTAGGACGAAATTCATGGGCAACTAGAATTAAAAATATTCTTTTTCAATTTGGTTTTGGATTTGTTTGGATAAGTCAGGAAATTGGTGATCACAAAATATATATGGAATCATTTAAACAGAGACTACATGATAATTTATTTCAATCTTGGCAGTTATCTTTGGACAGTAACTGTAAATGTCTTTACTATAAGCAATTCAAATCTTTGTTAAATGTTGAGAGCTACTTGATAAATATGATATCCCTCAATATTTAAAAACTATATATGCCCGATTTTATGTAATTTTAAACTAACAGTTGAAACGGGCAGATACACTGATGTTGCATATAATGAAAGGCATTGCCTGTTTTGTAAATTAAATGGTATCTTCGTTGTTGAAGATGAATGGCATGTGTTTTATATCTGTGATGCATATTCTCATATCAGAAATAAGTACATATCAAAATATTTTAGTAAATGTCCATCAATTATTAATTTTATATATATATTACAGAGTAAAAATGGTAATATTATCAAGGATGTATGTCTATTTTTATACTTTGTTGACAAGAAACACAAATCTAAATGAAATATATATGTGCTCTACTTATCATCAATTTATCAACATGTATTTTGGGCCGGAGGCCTGTTACTGAAATAAATTCTGTTCTGTTCTGTATGGGGGTTGTATGAGGGTTGTATGAGGGTTGTATGAAGGTTGTATCAGGGTTGTATGAAGGTTGTATGAAGGTTGTATCAGGGTTGTATGAGGGTTGTATGAAGGTTGTTTGAGGGCTGTATGGGGCTTGAATGAGGGGGTTGTATGGGGGTTGTATGAGGGTTGTATGGGGGTTGTATCAGGGTTGTATGTACGTCAAAGAACCTGACCACCCCATGCTGTTAGTCCCTTCTTTGGATGCTATGGACTTAGGTTCTTAGTACCGGATGTATGGTGTCATTACTGAATGACATTGTTGAATGACATTTTTTAATGACATTGCTGAATGACATTGTTGAATGACAGTGTTGAATGCGTTGTTTAATGACATTGTTGAATTACAATAGTTTGGCATTGCTGAATGACATTGTTGAATGACATTGTTGAATGACATTGCTGAATGACATTGTTGAATGACATTGTTGAATGACATTGCTCAATGACATTGTTGAATGACATTGTTGGATGACATTGCTGAATGACATTGCTGAATGACATTGTTGAATTACAAATGTTTGACATTGCTGAATGACATTGTTGAATGACATTGCTGAATCACATTCTTGAATGACATTGTTGAATGACATTGCTGAATGACATTGTTGATTGACATTGTTGAATGCCATTGCTGAATGACATTGTTGAATGCCATTGTTGAATGGCATTGCTGAATGACATTGCTGAATTACATTGGTGAATGACATTGCTGAATGACAGTTATGAATGACATTGCTGAATGACATTGTTGAATGACATTGCTGAATGACATTGTTGAATGACAGTGTTGAATGACATTGCTGAATGACATTGTTGAATTATATTGTTGAATACCATTGTTTAATTACAAGTGTTTGACATTGTTGAATGACAATGACACATTTTAGCATAAATCGAGCTAGAAAAGCACCCTGACGACCTATGTGTATTTGCGCGAAAATCATAAGCTGTCACAAAGATCATATTCGTGCTTAACGCCGCACTCGGCAATATCCCTGGGTGCCGTTGTATAAAGCAACCCTAGCGCTGCGGTGATCGTAACTCCCATACCTCGACATAGACTAACGCTGCGGTGATCGTAACTCCCATACCTCGACATAGACTAACGCTGCGGCGATCGTAACTCCCGAACCTCAACATAGACTAGCGCTGCGGTGATCGTAACTCCCATACCTCAACATAGACTAACGCTGCGGTGATCGTAACTCCCATACCTCGACATAGACTAACGCTGCGGTGATCGTAACTCCCGAACCTCAACATAGACTAGCGCTGCGGTGATCGTAACTCCCATACCTCAACATAGACTAACGCTGCGGTGATCGTAACTCCCATACCTCAACATAGACTAACGCTGCGGTGATCGTAACTCCCATACCTCAACATAGACTAACGCTGCGGTGATCGTAACTCCCATACCTCAACATAGACTAACGCTGCGGTGATCGTAACTCCCATACCTCAACATAAGACTAACGCTGCGGTGATCGTAACTCCCATACCTCAACATAGACTAACGCTGCGGTGATCGTAACTCCCATACCTCAACATAGACTAACGCTGCGGTGATCGTAACTCCCATACCTCAACATAGACTAACGCTGCGGTGATCGTAACTCCCATACCTCAACATAGACTAACGCTGCGGTGATCGTAACTCCCATACCTCAACATAGACTATAGTGATCGTAACTCCCATACCTCAACATAGACTAGCGCTGCGGTGATCGTAACTCCCATACCTCAACATAGACTAACGCTGCGGTGATCGTAACTCCCATACCTCAACATAGACTAACGCTGCGGTGATCGTAACTCCCATACCTCAACATAGACTAACGCTGCGGTGATCGTAACTCCCATACCTCAACATAGACAACGCTGCGGTGATCGTAACTCCCATACATCAACATAGACTAACGCTGCGGTGATCGTAACTCCCATACCTCAACATAGACTAGCGCTGCGGTGATCGTAACTCCCATACCTCAACATAGACTAACGCTGCGGTGATCGTAACTCCCATACCTCAACATAGACTAACGCTGCGGTGATCGTAACTCCCATACCTCAACATAGACTAACGCTGCGGTGATCGTAACTCCCATACCTCAACATAGACTAACGCTGCGGTGATCGTAACTCCCATACCTCAACATAGACTAACGCTGCGGTGATCGTAACTCCCATACCTCAACATAGACTAACGCTGCGGTGATCGTAACTCCCATACCTCAACATAGACTAACGCTGCGGTGATCGTAACTCCCATACCTCAACATAGACTAACGCTGCGGTGATCGTAACTCCCATACCTCAACATAGACTAACGCTGCGGTGATCGTAACTCCCATACCTCAACATAGACTAACGCTGCGGTGATCTTTACTCCCATACCTCAACATAGACTAACGCTGCGGTGATCGTAACTCCCATACCTCAACATAGACTAACGCTGCGATGATCGTAACTCCCATACCTCAACATAGACTAACGCTGCGGTGATCGTAACTCCCATACCTCAACATAGACTAACGCTGCGGTGATCGTAACTCCCATACCTCAACATAGACTAACGCTGCGGTGATCGTAACTCCCAAACCTCAACATAGACTAACGCTGCGGTGATCGTAACTCCCATACCTCAACATAGACTAACGCTGCGGTGATCGTAACTCCCATACCTCAACATAGACTAACGCTGCGGTGATCGTAACTCCCATACCTCAACATAGACTAGCGCTGCGGTGATCGTAACTCCCATACCTCAACATAGATTAACGCTGCGGTGATCGTAACTACCATACCTCAACATAGACTAACGCTGCGGTGATCGTAACTCCCATACCTCAACATAGACTAACGCTTAGTCTCTGAATATATATAACTTTGATAGTAACAAAAAAGCCCATTTTAAATGAAAAGGAGACCCAGGGAGACCAGAGATTAAGAACCTGAGGAAATCCAGACTTGCTTTATTTAGGGCTTTAGCACTGCAGAGAGGGCATGTGGCAGTAGGGAAAATAATGTGGTTCAGGGACTGTGAGACAGACTACCCTTAACACCGCCCTAAGGATGTTTTATACAAGGACAGCCAGATGCACTAATGGATCTTGGCCAGAAATGCCAGTGACTGAAATGATATCAGCGGTTACAGTCACAAAGCCTGACAACCGAATCGAGCGGCTTTTAAAACAAGGTGGGACCTATTCTAACCCAGAATCCACAAAGAAGTCTCCTACCCTTGATTCTGGTTAGCCTTATAGTTACGCATTTAGCTATTTTGAAGTTTTTATCCAAAACATGTTTAAAGATAACTGTATACAACAACCTTTTTCAATATAGTTCCGGTAACAAAACAAAAGGACGATGGTACAACCCATTGTTAAAAATGCATCTTACAGTCCCCTTGTTGCCCATGTGGCAATTTATCAAGAATGTGGAATATAAAATTCGTTTCAGTCTTATGTCTACAAGGTTCTTCAATGCTGTCTTCCATCTACATCTTATGTACTGATGTCAGAATATTCCATACATAGCAGGTTGTGTAATCAAGCATATTGATCTAGCCTGGGAACACAGTCCTTCCTATGCACCTTGTATAATTTGCTGTTATTATTACCCGACCTTGGATAAGTCTTTGTTGGTATTTGCCCCGTTACATGCTGTCATAAACTGATACAATTTTAACGACGGTGGTTACAAAGCAACACTGCCGCAAGCATTCCCAGTGCATTCTGATATATACATGTATCCCTATGCAGCTGTGGTAATAGCAGTGGGACGCAAACTCATAGGCCACAGAGGAAAGTTATGGTTAATATTTGATGGACAAGCAGTCGTTGGTGGGACGAGGGCAGGCTGGCTCTTCTACCCTGGTATCCCAGATAGGTATTGATTGGTGTAGCGCGAGGAAGTGTCGCCTAGCAACACAGCACGGGACGGCCACAGAGCACCATCTCGCGCATTCATTTTGTCGTCTGCTTTGCGACAAGTCGTGTCGTCTGCTTTGAGGCGAAAGGTAGCAGTCGGGAGATACAGAAGACACCTTGGAACCTGTTTGCCCGAAAACGTCAACATGTCGATTTTAATGAACGCACAACACTTGAGGAAGATGAGACAGAAGGCGGCAGATGTCAGAAGGTGAGATGCCAGCTATGGTAGAGGCACAGCAGCCATGTTTTGTATGTACCCGTAATGGCGTCTCCGCCAACTCGCATCCCGCAAAAATGGCAGTTTCATTGTAGCATCTCTGGAGGACTGTCACAGACTTTGAATTCTTGAAATAACATGTTGACACACTTATAAAACAAATGTTTCTGAAGGACACTTTTCTGATTGTTTAGAAATATATCCCGTAGGATGTCATGAGTGTGGGTATTTAATTATTAAAGATCAAAACAGAAGATACGAAAACAATGTACATAGGCTTTTTCTATGTTCCATAAAACAGAATTAAAAAAGATAGTGATCAAACCTACATGAATATAACATGCAAGTTAATACTTTGGAAAAGAATCAGTAAGTGAATGTTGCCGGTTTAACAATGCTTTTAGAAATATCCCAGTAACACTGCGGTAGACTGATCTTTAATCGTTTATAATATTGACTCATTATCCACGAATCCACATGTCTGTGGTAGCTAGACATTAATATATGTACAGAGCTTATGCCAAGATAAATATACTGGCCGGGTGTGACGTGAACTTCGTCAGCTCCGTGATGAGGATGTTGAATGGGGATTTAACAACCATCTCTTGAAGATCTTCATCGATGTAAAATGGCATTTGATAAATAGTCTTACGGCTCAAGTCAAATGTTGTTTCTAATGACGGAGTTAGATATTAACAAACAGTCTTTGAAAATATCGACTGAATACGACCTTCAGGTGATTGCACAACAGAGCAAGCTTAGCGTTAAGACTCACACATTTAAACATAGACTTACCACAGGCTTAGCGCTACGACTACCGCGCTTAAGTATAGACTTACAACAGGCTTAGCGCTACGACTACCGCGCTTAAGTATAGACTTACAACAGGCTTAGCGCTACGACTACCGCGCTTAAGTATAGACTTACAACAGGCATAGTGTTAAGACTGTTCCACTCAAACATAGACTTACAACAGACTTAGTAATAAGACTTCCACACCTAAACACAAACCTACAAAAGGCTCAGCGCTATGACTCCCACATTTACATCCACCAGGAAATAGAATCGCCACACCCAATATTTTTCATAGCACCAGTATGCTACCATTAACCATGCAAAGGAACTTACCCAACCTCAATTTATTTTAATGGAACTGGATAAAATTACCCTCAAGGTATAAGTAAATGGCATATCTAAACGGAATAGAACGAAAACCTGCAGCGTATTCATGGAAACACTTCTTAGTGCTGATAACTATGGTCACAAGGCCGTTAACGTTAAGTGCAGATTATACCATACACTTCTTAAGAAATCACATCTTTATCAATAGCCGAGCACAATGTCAATACCTGGTGTAACGCCAACTGCAATAACATCCCTGACCCACATTATCTTCGACTGAATCCGACGTTGAATTTGACGTTGAGGTTATTCTTGATGGAGGGCGTGTTCTATTACGTCAACATTTTGGACTGGAGGATCTCTCTGGCGTATTCGGTACCCCATAACTTCCCAAACATGCTCTGGCCTCCTTGTGGACCATGTTTGAGTTGCTACCGCCTCTTGGGATAAGAAGTCACCGACGGTACGTGTAGGATGTGGCCTAGCGTTCTCGTCCATGAATGTTGGCCTTTACCCAGAGCATTTTCTACAACATTTGGTAAGACAACCATGTCCAGTATGTCACTGATGTAAGTAAGTAATAGTCCGCTTATATGGCGCTCATATCCATTGCCTGCTCGCGGCGCTACGTACATTACAGTGACGTCTAGGATCTCGATGATCGCTGTCCATTCAGATGTTGTCTGACCGTTACAAGATCAAGTTTATTGTAATATGAGAGGCACCCCACACCATCAATGATCCCCCGCCAAACGGTACTTGCGATAAGATGTTCCTTGTACGTATACAGTGTTTCTGCGGCGCCAAACACGAGCACGACCATCAGTCATGAACAAAAGATGTCGACTTTAGTCCGGAGAGAACTCTTCCCCGTGACATCAAGTTCCAGTGACGTCGAGCTTGACACCAAGCTACCCGTGCTGTTTTGGGCTTTTACGAAATTTCCGACTGTTCTGCTAGACAAACGACGATGTTGAAGTTACTCTGTTTTTAAACACCACTTGACCTTAACGGATAAAGTCATGTGATTCTGAGAAGGGTTGTATTTTCCCTAATAGTGAGTGAGTTTAGTTTTGCCGCACCCAGCAATATTTTAGCTATATGGCGGCGGTCTGTAAATAATCGAGTCTGGACCAGACAATCCAGTGATCAACAACATGAGCATCGATCTGCGCAATTGGGAACCGATGACATGTGTCAACCAAGTCAGCGAGCCTGACCACCCGATCCCGTTAGTCGCCTCTTACGACAAGCATGGGTTGCTGAAGATCAATAATCTAACCCGGACCTTCACGGGTATTTTCCCTAATATACACATGCCAATAATGGTTGTCATCCCCTTCAATTTTATTTATAGGCTGGGGGGTGACAACCATTATTGGCATGGGCATAGTTGACGCTCGTGGTCGACGTAAACGCTAACGGTCTTTGAATTAACGTCATCAATTTGCTGATGTCATTTTGCCAATCGGCTGATAGGTGATGAATGACACCCACTATCTCCTGCAATCGCCATCAGTGACATGTCAGCGTTCCATATACCAATAACGTGCCATCTTTGAGCAGTTGTCAGTTAAGGAAGCCCAATATTTGCTGATCAACACCAAAATCAATTATTGAGCAGTACGAATAGGGTAATTAAACTCGATATTTGCATAATGACCGGTACACGTATTGCACGTGATGCTCGCCTTTGATCGTAGCACGTGCACATATAAAAAATACATATATCGTGCGGCCGAAGTGTAAAAGTATTCATACAAACGCGTTCGGTTTTTAAATTACATTTAGCGGTCTTAAATCAACGATAAAGGACCGCAAAATTGAAAACAGAGTAGCTTTATCTTCTAAATATATCGTGCGGCCGAAGTGTAAAAATATTCATACAAACATGATTATATTAATATCAATGCCAATGTGGGACTTTAAAACCATAAGTGTTTAGCGATACCTTTTCCCTATGTATTATATATATATATATATATATATATATAGAGAGAGAGAGAGAGAGAGAGAGAGAGAGAGAGAGAGAGAGAGAGACAGAGACGTACATCTAGCTTAGCCCTATGACCCCCACACTTACGAGCAGCGATCAAAAAGCATGTAGAGTCACCAAGGAAACGATACAAATGCAGTTATTTTTATGTTTAATTTTCTACATATTATCTGTCAAGCTCAAGCAATTTGGTTTTGCTATGTTCCAGTCTCACGATCCTCATTTTGTTTGACCTATTACCTTGGTACCCTCAAAAAACGCAAAATCTACAATAAATGCATCAAAAACTTCAGGAAACAAAATATGCAAGAAATAATTTTGTGTGTTTGAGATTGATAGAAGTCCCCTAGAATCACACTTAGATATTAAAGTTCATAAAAAGGCAATTTGACGTTACAATCGCTTGTTAAATTGACTCCCCCCTTCATGTTTACTGAAAGAGCGTGTTTTGGAGACACTACCCACCCCCTTTCAGATGACATAACTAACTCTTCTAATGTTTTCACCTATGCATACATGACTCCAAGGGTTCAAACTAAATACTGAATGGTCACACAAGTGTCAGCTCACAGTATATTGTAAACAGTGCCAGCTTGAATATCTGGACACAATGTTTCAGGAAGATTGAAATGGGGGTGCCCTTCAAAAACAGCCCTCGACTAAATATAAATTAAGCAATCCAAATCTTTGACTGTTGATTATGACGGGAAGTCATCCAATACTATACTGAACATATTTTATATGATATACTCTGAGGGCATACCATTATTCAAGAGGTACCAAATGACAGATCGTTTTTCATTTTCTGCAGTTTTGTTAGAAATATTATACCCCAATGTGTTGTGATGACTAATATCTCGTTAACCACATTACCCACGTACGTGACATTTTGGATATGACTTTGCTAAAGATTCCTTCAAAATAAAATGGAAGCTTTTCAAACAATACAGGTTAGTCTACGTACTTTTTGATCGACCCACGTATATATACACTTACAAGCTTAGCGCTAAGACTCCTTCACTTAAACAAACACTTACTTTAGTGATGCGCTGAGACTCGAACACCAACATAACTGTGCGTGAAGTCTCCATCAACTACAACAACGATATGCTAAAATTGTAAACATAACTAAACAAATGTTAATAGGTCGGGAGAGGGGGGGAGGGGTCTTCAAAAAATGAATATTCAGTAGGATGGGATATTCAACGACATAACAATTTTGTCGGGTTGGATTTTCATTTCCATAAACGACTCTGTCTGGTGGGATATTCATTTCCATAAACAACTGTGTACGGTGGGATATTCACTGACTTGAATTCACATTAGAAGCGATTGGAAAGAAGAGATGTGAGTGATATTAGGTTAGTCAGATATACATCTTTATCAGTAAACCACCCACACACTACCTGAATCACGTGTGTTTTAAACGTTATCTACGAAGGGGGCAGAACCAGCACAAGTCTAAACCACCTTTCTTACCATCAGGACATCAGTGGGGCGGTGGGGTAGCCTAGTGGTTAAAGCGTTGGCTCGTCACGCCAAAGACCCGGGTTCGATTCCCCACATGGGCACAATGTGTTAAGCCCATTTCCGGTGTCCCCCGCCGTGATATTGCTGGAATATTGCTAAAAGCGGCGTAAAACTAAACTCAGTCAGTCAGTCAATCAGGACATCAGTCTACAGGTTGAATTCCTCACTGTAACATCGTAGTGCAATGTCAAGTACCTGCCTCATCCCCGGACAATTTGAAGGAATTCCGAGATCATAATGGACAAGTTCAAAAGTGTGATGTCATATAAAACTGAATTACTTTACTTTTGAGACGTAACACCTCCTGATTTCCAATGTAAAGGTTGGTTGGTTGGTTGGTGTTTAACGCCGAACTCATATTCCAGCTATATGGCGGCGGTCTGCAAATAATCGAGTCTGGACCAGACAATCCAGTGATCAACAGCATGAGTTAGTAAATAACCATATTATTGCTGAGTGCGGCGTTGAACAACAAACAAACAAACAAACAAACAAACCACCAGCGTGTCTTATATTCGAGGGGCGGTGGGGTAGCCCAGTGATAGCCCAGTCACCGCCGTGATATTTCTGGAATATTCCTAAAATTAAACCCCAACTCACTCACTCACTCTTATGTTCGAGTCTCCAAAATAACACCGATTGAACTAACCGGTTTAGCCGAACCGTGCAGGTAACAATAAGCAATGAGGCCAACTTCTACCGATTCATGGCTGAATCAATCACCCAGCTTATTCGTACACGCAGTAACTTCAGATCTAAACGTAATTGACTGTTACTTTTTGTAATGGTAGTATGAAAGTTATTAAGCGCCAAATTGCAAATCTAAAACAAAAACATACAATGCGAATTCTTAAATTACAAATCGGTCTAAAAACGATACCGTGTAGTTCACGTGTACCCATTGGCAATCAATAATGAGTATGGATAACAAAACTAACGTCTTTATAAAACATGTGACTCGAAACTTATTGACATATGAGTATTTAGCCATATCGTGAATATTTTAGTGAGAATCCAACCAGTAAAATATTATCACCAAGGTAACGACCTCGCGAGATTTCGCGAGACAATATGATATGTGTGTGTATATATAGGATGCAAGCGCAGTTTGAAGCACACTTCATGTTATCTGTGAAATTGTCCGGAAAGCATTGTTCGTTTCTGTGGTTTTCTGGGTTGCAACTTTTGTATCTTTTATAGGTAAACTGAACGTACAGATAATACACGTACAAGTTACTTATCAGTATAAACTCTAAGATAAATTACTTAATGGTCAAATACAAAATGCCAACATAAGTCAATGTTCGGTATCAAAGAAAAAATACTATATCCATGTTTATAAATAATACATCACGTCTATTAGTAGCACTTGTCTGTGGTTGAGAGCAGACAAAATGCAAAAGGGGCGGTGGGGTAGCATAGTGGTTAGAATGTTTGGTCGTCACGCCGAAGGCCCGGGTTCGATTCCCCACATGGGTACAATGTGTGAAGCCCATTTCTGGTGTCCCCCGCCGTTATGTTGCTGGAATATTGCTAAAAGCGGCGTAAATCTAAACTCACTCACTCACTATACAAATATATAGAAGGTTTTATACTTTAGTTATTTGGCATAACTTCTTACTCAACAAAAAACGCACACCGTTGATTGATATAAACAACGATCCAAGCTGACCCAGTGAGTATCTGAGGTACGTCTTACAACAAGCATAGGTTATCCACAAAAATACGCCAGATCTTCATCCTAAAGCAGGTTTAAAGGGTTACATTTTACAAAGAATCAGCAAGCTGCCTGTGAGACGCTAGAAGGTTGACAGTCACATTACCATCTTACCACCTGTTCACTGTTGGGTGGACAGAATCATACACTAAGGGAAACGAACAGTGTTCCGTTACTTACTCTCAGATTTTCTCCCACAGCGCTACTCAAAGCTGGTGATGGAAACTGGAAAATATTAAAGGAACGCTTGAATTTTCATGTGTTACTTTATTTGTTTTTCTCAGTATATTTCGAACAAAGTCTCTTGCCAAGTAGACGCCACAGAGCCCATGTCGTCGAAACTCACAGGAGTCAAGTAGCCAAGCGTTATCACTCATGCAACTACTCTCCGCCACCAACGTAACTTCGCTTGATTTGTGACCCCAGCTCAGCAGTAAGCCACGTGCCTGCACAATCCAGGATTCATGTGACATAAGTCATATTAGTGATCACACTTTCTCTGTCAAGTACAGGTCCTAGAGGTTTCAGGGGGTTTGAGCCCCAACCGGGATCTGGCACCTCTTCATCGCCAGCACACAAAGTCAGTGATCCAGGAGTGCGAGAATATGATTCCAGTTAACCTGTCATGTTAAACAGAACACCTGAATTACACGTATATGTCCCACTTCACTAATGTTCTGAGATGCCTGTCAAGTTCTCAGTTGCCCTTCGATATTACTTCAAATGTAAAGAAATTATGAGCTGATATTTCCTCTCTGTTCATTAATTTCTAATCATACTGCAGATTATATGGCAGCCAGTTGCAAGATAGAAATAACACCAGGTTATGAAAGCAAACTGATATTGTACACATGTCACTACTGCCCGTATTCCGGGTTTGCACATTCTGGTTTGAAACATGAATGGGGCGGTGGGGTAGTCTAGTGGTTAAGGCGTTGTTAAGACCCGGGTTCGATTCCCCACATGGGCACAATGTGAAGCCCATTTCTGCTGTCCCCCGCCATGATATTGCTGCAATATTGCTAATAGCGGCGTAAAAAGATTGATAATACGATGTGCCGTTGAGATTGACATCCAATGATCGAGGGGGAAAATACCAGCGCCTTGAGCATGCACTAGTGCGCGGATATGTGCGCTATATAAATATCCAATAATAATAAAAACTAAACTCACTCACCCACTAAAACATGAATGAGTATCCTCCAGGGTTTGGGATCAAAGAAACAACAGAGAAACCATCTATGGAATCCTAAAAGGGACATTGCATTGTCGCGGATTTGAACACTTGTTTGACACATTTTGGATGGGTCGACAACGCGACTTGTTTTGACCTTGAAAACTGGCGCATCGGTTGCCTTTCGTATAAAATACTACTCACAGCGACTGTGTGACAAATGATCAAATATCGCACTTTGGTTAATTTCGACACTTTTTGCTTGTTTTGAATGGAAAACAACGAGATGATAAATCTTCTCGGATTTCACAACAATCAGTGCCTTAATTCTATCTGTGCTTAGAAATGTATAATGATGAAAGCCCTAGTATCAAGCTGTATATGGCAAGCAGGGTGGTTTTGCAATTGTGAATTCCACTTCACGTTTCTCAGTGTACCAAAGGCTTGGCTTTCTGGGTACCTGTATCCCAGGTTAACGGCAAATACATTTTTCTTACATCTAATCTTAATGTTGCAGCAACAAAGGCCTGGTGAAGTCATTCTGGTTCATTTATGGTGACATATATAGAAGTGTAGCAAATGTACCATCTAGATTGTCAGTATGATGCTCAATGCCTCCAGTCTTTAAATCTTTACAGGAGTTTCACACTTACTTATTCACTCGCTTCCTTTTTGTATGAATATAGTGTGAGTAGCGGATTCTACCCTTGTATCAGGAAATCCTTTCCTTGAACACCTGAGTGCCGTTGTACAAGTCAACTTATGTACAAATACTGTCGTAAGTCTAGGATAAGGTACTCGAGTTACAATCACCTTAGCGCTAAGATCTCTTTGTACAACGGTGTCTTCAATTGTTTTTTCATACCAACAGACGTTAAAATATGGTACTTGTTGGTCCCTGCCTGGCGCTCGGCCTTAATGGGTACAACAAGGACTGGTGGGCTCGGAGTCTGTATAATGTGTCTGAGTGGGGTTTTCTTGCTTCACTGCGGCATGGTATCTCAGTGGGCTAGCACTACAAAACCAGCTTAAGTCTGGGCTAGTACAAGCAGCCGCACATACACATACACACGCATACACGTGGTCATATGAGCGAAATATTCTCAAGCACGACGTTAAACCCAATTTCACCTCACCTCAGCTCACCTCACCTCAGTTGTTTTTAATCATTCATATAACTGAATCCCGATGTTGTTTTTCCCGCCCAGTGCCGGTGATCATACCAGGCTTTAACGTATTGTATTTGTGTCCACAGTAAAAGTCAAACACAGCCGCAGGGGTAAGTACACCTATACCTAAAACACTTGTTTTACCTTGTAGATTTTCTATCCAATATTAATAGACGGCCTGTGCGTATTTTCATTCATAGACTTATTAGACTTTTTTTCTTCTGAGGCTTTTTGAACTATGCATTCTTCTGTAGAGTGTCCCAGTGGTTCTTCGTCGATAGACCTTCTGATCACCTTTTCTCCTGTAGACCATCTATAAAGTTCTTCTTCATTAGATGATCTAACATCGTTTCTTTCGTAGACCATCTATAAAGTTCTTTTTCATTAGACAATCTAAACACCGTTTTCTTCTATAGACCATCTGAAAAGGTCTTCATCATTAGATCATCTAAACATCGTTTCTCCTGTAGACCATCTATTAAGTTCTTCTTCATTAGACGATCTAAACATCGTTGCATCTGTAGACCATCTATCAGGTTCTTCTTCGTTAGACGATCTAAACACCGTTTCTCCTGTAGACCATGCGTAAGTTCTTATTTATAAGACCATCTAAACATCGTTTCTTCCGTAGACCATCTGTCAGGTTCTTCATTAGACCATCTAAACATCGTTTCATCTGTAGACCATCTATCAGGTTCTTCATTAGACGATCTAAACATCGTTTCTCCTGTAGAACATCTATCAGGGTCTTCTTCGTTAGACGATCTAAACATCGTTTCATCTGTAGAACATCTATCAGGGTCTTCTTCGTTAGATGATCTGCATTGTTCTGCTGTGGAGAGGTCTGGGTAGCACAGTGGTTACAGCGTTCCCTCGTAACGCTGGTTCGACTCCCCTACGTGTGTGAAACCCATTTCTGGTGTCCCCTTCCTTGATACCGCTGGAGTCTTGACATATCCTAACTCACTCACGCTTCTGCTTTGCTATAGACCATCTATATAGTGCTTTCTGCTATAGGCTAGTAAAGAATTTATGATTTATAAGTCACATTAAATTATAAAATTCTTTGACCATGTAAAAGAGATGATGTTTTCATCTATATATTCCATATGAAAAATAGTGTTTACTCTGTAATTTTCAGCATTCCATTTCGGTAGACCCTCTCACAATGCTTTCTCCTTGAGATCACGTATACCACATTTCTTCCGTAGAAAGCACTGAAGGCTTTGAATTAGTTTGTTTTCATATAAATTGACACAGCTTCAGTTGTAATGTATTTGAACATATTCTGAACATATCATTAATTAATTTTACTTTTTAACTTTATTTACATATTATCGTTTCCTATGAAAACGGCGTAATTCTTTTTCAACATTTGAACAAACAACGTGTTTTTTTAAGATGGCATGCATGATTTTGCTTCGTCTCTCCCTTACATACCGATAAATTGTGATTTCTTCTTGTAAATCGTCTGAAGGATTTTCTTTATAAACGAACGATACAATCAACATAAACCATGCAAACAATATGTGCTTCTTACATATACCATGCGGACAAAGATATTATTCTACAGAGAAGACAGACAAATATATTCTTCTGTAGAGCATATAGACAAAGGAAGTATCTATGGAACATACAGCAGAGAGGATGCAGACAATGGTAGTATGTATACATCATGCAGACAGGTGTGTTGTTCTGTAACACAAACTATGCTTTCTCGTTTATTTTGGATTGTTTTAGCTTCTGAAATACGTTTATTCTTAAACCATAAAATGTTATATTTTATAAATCATATTTTAAACAATGCTTTATTGTATAGGGTGGTTTGGGTGATGATTCGTTCTCAGTACAATCACCTACCGTAGACAATTCAGACATTTTCTTTCTGAAGCCCATATAAACAAACGTTTTCTTCATTAAACTTTATACACAAACGTTTTCTTCAGTAAACCATATGCATAAACGTTTTCTTCAGTAAACCTTATACACAAACGTTTTCTTCAGTAAACCATATACACAAACGTTTTGTTCAATAAACCATATACACAGACGTTTTCTTCAGTAAACCTTATACACAAACGTTTTGTTCAATAAACCATATACACAGACGTTTTCTTCAGTAAACCTTATACACAAACGTTTTGTTCAATAAACCATATACACAGACGTTTTCTTCAGTAAACCATTATACACAAACGTTTTGTTCAATAAACCATATATACACAGACGTTTTCAGTAAAACCTTATACACAAACGTTTTCTGCACGTTTTCTTCAGTAAACCATACACAAACGTTTTCTTCAGTAAACCATATACACAAACGTTTTGTTCAATAAACCATATACGCAGACGTTTTCTTCAGTAAACCTTATACACAAACGTTTTCTGCAGTAAACCATATACACAAACGTTTTCTTCAGTAAACCTTATACACAAACGTTTTGTTCAGTAAACCATATGGACAAACGTTTTGTTCAATAAACCATATACATAAACGTTTTCTTCAGTAAACCTTATACACAAACGTTTTCTGCAGTAAACCATATACACAAACGTTTTGTTCAATAAACCATGTACACAGACGTTTTCTTCAGTAAACCTTATACACAAACGTTTTGTTCAGTAAACCATATGGACAAACGTTTTGTTCAATAAACCATATACATAAACGTTTTCTTCAGTAAACCTTATACACAAACGTTTTCTGCAGTAAACCATATACACAAACGTTTTGTTCAATAAACCATGTACACAGACGTTTTCTTCAGTAAACCTTATACACAAACGTTTTCTGCAGTAAACCATATACACAAACACTTTCGCCATTATGAACAAATGTTTTTTGCTTCATTGACCATGTAAACATTTTTTTTCTTTTGTAGACCATATAGACATTAGTGTTTTGGTCTTTTTCAAAACTATGTAAACCATATGAACATATATTGTCTACTGTAGATAACATAATTAAAGTCCATATTATGTTTGATTTTGTATGGAATCTTGACAAAATATGTTTTCATGTGTAGACAGTATTTACAAATAGGATTTCTTTTAAAGCCAATATGAACAATATCCTTTGGTCTGTGGATAATATGCAATTTTCAACAAATAAAATGTTGCGCAGACAATCTTGGGTAATCCCTAGTATAACGTGTGACATGTGACCACTTGTTAAATGGCTATTGTGTATTCAAGCGTCACTTTGTACGACGATACCCTCATGGAGGATGACCCTGAAATTGGCTGTGCTGAGTTACGTCCCTTTGTCACACCAGAACCCGCATCCGCTCAAGTTTCTAGGTGTTTACAGCACCATGCTCGTGTTCGTTGATTTTAAGTAAGACACAGACACAGTTTAAATTACTGGGGATTAATTTCAGTGTAGATTTAGAAGAAATGGTAAACTTAAATTATGAAGAGAAATTTAAAAATATTGAAAAAGAAATGAAACAATGGTCAATTAGACATTTAACACCTATGGGTAGAAATGCTATTTTGAAATCTTTACTACTACCTAAAATGAATCACTTGTTTGCCTCTTTACCTAACCCTCCAGACGAACAGCTAAATAATTTTCAGAAGAAATGCTTTAACTTCATATGGCGGGGTAAGATAGATAGGGTCAAGAGAAGTGTCATGATGCAACCACCTAAATATGGAGGAATTAAGGTACCTGATGTTAAATCAACTATATTATCACAAAAACTATCATGGATAAAAAGATTTTATAATAAGTCATATTGGGTCAAGCATGCTGGAATTTTTATCCCAGGAATAGATACCCTATGGTTGGCGGATAGTTATATATGAACACTACTTTATTACCATACATTACAAATACTTTTTGGAGGGATGTTGTATCGGCATGGAGTTTGTATCTACCCAAATGCTATGATAAGATTACAAATATATGTCAGACATAAAGACTCAATCATTATGGTACAACTCTAATATCTCTATTGGTGGCAAATGGGTTGAATATAGGCACTGGCTAGGAAAGGGTATATGTTGTATTAAGGATATGTTCAATGAAAAGGGAGAAATCTATTCCTTTAACAAACTTGTAGAAACATATAATTTAGAAACAAATTTTATCCTATATCAAGGGCTCAAGTCAACAGTAGCGAGACACATTAAAAGATGTTTGATTAATGATTACAAAGAAAGGATATATAATCCTACTCTCCCATTTAATGTATACAGCATAATCAATACACAAAAGGGTAGTAAAATGTTTTATCAGATTTTATTTGCTCCAGACTTCAGTACAGATGCACAGGAAAAATGTCAAAAGTGTTTGAATAGAATAATTGATAGATCAGAACAAGAAAATATTAATCTGATGTCTTATAGATGTACTGAGAGTGTGAATATGAGATGGTTCCAATTTAAAATAGTGAATAATATTTTAGCAACAAATAGCTTCTTGTACAAGATAGGAATATCTGAATCACACTTATGTACATTCTGTGGACAAGATTCAGAAACCATGGTACACCTGCTGTTCGAATGCTTTCATGTGAAAAAGATATGGAAGGAAGTAGAAAAATGGCTTAGAACTGTTTCAGAGGGTGAAATGAATTTTTCTCTAGAGAATATTATATTTGGATTTAAAGGCAAACACAATAATCCATTGAATGCTGTAATCTTGGTGGTTAAAGAAGCTATCTATAGAAGAAGCAGAAAAAAGCAAACTCTGAATATTAGATATATTAAAGCAGAAGTCATCAAATATTATGAAGCAACAAAAATGATAGCTTTTTCAAATTGTAATTATGCCAAATTTTTAGCTTCTGGTCCTCCTTCCATACATTATTTGCCAATAATTAAACTTTTATCAACAGATTTGTGTAACATGTAAACACTTTATATACATGCTTAGTTTGACCATTTACATATTTGTGAACAGCATGATATTCGACAATGTGATCAAGGAAACACTACTTGTGTACTATGAGGCTACCTGTACTGTACTGTACTGTACTGTACTACCGAGGTAAAATATGTAAACATGTAACACTCATATACATGCTTAGTTTGACCATTTTACATATTTGGGAATAGCATGATATGGGACAATATGATCAAGGAAACACTGTACTTGTGTACT